GGGGTGAACTCGATACGGCGTTTCGCGGACGAGACCAGCGGCCAATCCCCAGTGGACAGCGGAATTTCCCAAGAACGGTTCGGACGGCAGTCGGTCGATCGCGCGGCCGCGGAACACGCGCACGCACACATAAAACCTTTATCGCCGTCTGTTGCCGTGTCATTGTCCGCCGTCGTAAAAAAAAAAAAAACCATTATTGTTTATTATTATGAGCGTTATTATTGTCATTATTATCGTAGTTATTTATTATTTCGCTCGCCGACCGCGGGCGTGCACACGGCGGTGCATGTGTTGTTCGTGCACGAAGCGTTTCGCCGACGTTGTTCGCGCGCACAATGCCGTGCATTTTGCTGTGTCGCGGTGCGCCGCGTACAGTTTCCCACGAGACGCAGCGTACGAACGCGAAAGGTTCGCTTTTAAGAATTCGACGGCCCCGGGACGCCGCGTCGCACGGCCGCGGGCTTTCCCGATTAATCGATACCGCGATTAACCGTCGAAATCTCACGTCCGACTCCGATGGTTATACCGCTGACGTTACGTGGCTGTTAGTGCTTGACTTGGCAAAATTATAGAAAGGGCACTCTGTTTAATTTAATAAAAATAACGTCCCCGAGACTTGTAAAGCGTTATAATTATAACGTAATAATAGTAGGGGAACGTTAAAATTTCTGAAAATCAGTTGGGGTACTCCGTCCCCCTGCAAGTCAAGCACTGATTATTGTTGTAACGGGCCAATACTAGTTGGACGAAAACAACTCGTACGATTTTTTTTTGCGTCATTTAATTTGATACGTTCTAATTAGCCGTGTACTTGATCATATGTAACCGCCTACAAATTACAATCGAAAATTCGGTATGCAATATCATAGAATATGGTAGTCGAAACTAAATAAATATTAGAAACGATTTATCGGTACAGGAAATACAATTTTAACTAACACGCTTTATCTTTAATCGATCCAAAAGTTGTAAGACTCAGACGGGTCTATTTTGTCTTGTCCCTAAAATATTTGGTTTGGGATTTGGTATAGTTATATATAAGTTGAGTATAGTATAGCATATATGGTAGTTTTAGTATAGTATAAGTTGAATATCATTGAAAAAGAATAAAATCAAATGGACATTTCGAAAGAAAACTTCGAAACGAAGGAAAAAAAATGTACAAAAAAAAGTTTGAATGTTAATATAAGTACAAGATATAAATAGTTTCTTGGTTTATTTTCGAATCGTACAAAAGTTTATACTACTTTATATTGCGTTTATTTTTGTGCACAGATATATTATTTTCCGACAATATTTAATTGCGCTTTGACATTTTAAGACCAAAACCCAATACAGGCCGAGTCGTTTTCATTTTGACGGGAAAAAACAGGATGAAAACTATTATGTTTTATTTTTCGCTACTGCGTCACGTTTAGCCCACTGTATTCGCTCTGACCAGTGAAAACGAGTAATTAATTATACGCAATGTGTAAATATAGGACAGAAAAGCTAGAAATAACGCAGTTTAACAATGATACGGTAATATTATGCCGTTACGACTGCTTACAGTTTGTTCGCAGTTTGGCACTCTCGTATATTTTGCCAGTAAATTAGTCTTCAGTACACGAATTTTGTATGACGCTTATAATGATATGAGTTATATTACTAGTCTATAACCAGCCGTACCCAACTCATAGGCCGCGATCAACATGGAACTGGACCGTGGACCATCATGACTAACGTCTATATTTCTGGTTAAAATGATATTATTACATATTTTTATTATTTAATAATATTTTTGGTTATAATAGTATTAATGAGACTATCCAGCAAGTTTAGTTTTGAACTAGATATTGATTCTCTTATAGGTCTCGATGTCAAAAATTTCATTAAATTGTTTAACTTGATAAATTAAGACTAATTAGGTTCAAACAAGTTTTTTTCTAAATAAACAATTGTTTTTATTTCTGTTTGTAACAAACATGTGTAACATTTGTAACATGTGCACTTACGTCAGTTATTAGTTAATAACTGACGTAAGTGCACATTATATATATATATATATATACAGTGGCGTATTTTTGGGGGGGGGGGGGATGTGGAGGATAGATCCCCTCCCTTGACCTTTTTTTTTTTCCTAGGTAGCTATAAGTTGTCTCATTTTCTCTAATATTCTTAATATGATATTACTTTCAAGCATGTATGTTTTCTGTTTTCTAAATGTTCTAGTCGTGGTAATTGTACCGCTCTGATAGTCTGATATACTAATCGCCACTAATCGTTTATCGTTGGCGGCATGTACGACTATCAGGCAACAAAAACTATACCTATATTATGGTGTACTGTATTTTGTACGTTTCTGCGAATTATTTTTCATGCAAGAGTGATTATAATAAACCCGATAAGCAATCGGTAAACAAAATAAAATGACCATGAAGATCGTGGATTAACCATAGGGCGGCCGGGCGGCTTTATTTTTAGAAAATTTGTTACTAGTAGATTTATGGCTAATGTATAGCTATATATATATATTTTATCGTATGATATCGTGATTCGTCAAAAGTAGATATGTACGGTCGTTGGACGTTGACGGATAGCGACGCCGCGCCATTCCGAGTACTGACTTACTGCCGAATTGACTATTGTTCGACTTTATATTTTGCGTCTTGTAAGTTGTAACTGTGAAGTTTTAAGACAATATGAGTAATACTCAAAAACAAAAAAAAACTTTATTTTCTTATTTTAGTACAAATAAAAAAATTTGTTTGGAAAATGATGAGGTAATTATAAAGATTAATTCTTATTTTGCCTTGATCCACACTAACCTCAATAGGTAACAAGTTAGGGGATTTTAAAAATGTATATTATATACGAATTTATGGGTGTTAGGATGTATTATTATATATTTCATCCCCCCCTAGCAAAATTCCTAAATACGCCACTGTATATATATATATATTTAGCAGTAGTTTCCTACCAAGGTGACATGGACGCAGTGTAGTGGTGACATGAAATCTCTAAGGAAAAAGGAAAAAATTAAAAAAAATAATTAATTTTAATAAAATCATATTATTACCACAACTGTTGTGTAAATAGCATATCTTTAAGTTTGTGTCTTTATTTTATTTAGATCGGATAAATACGTGCAGATACAGTCAAGGCCGTAACAGTAAAAAAAA